AGTCCTTCCTTTACTTTCATGATGTTGACATTTTTGAAGATTATAGGTCAGTTAACCTATAGAATATCCCTTAATTTGTGTTTGTCGGATATTTCCTCATGATTAAATTCAAGGTTTTCATTGAAGTAATGTGAAGTTCTTCTCATTGCATCCTATCAGGTGATACTTGATTTTAATTTGTTCCGTTGCGACTAATGTTAACTTTGATCATAGTGGTGCCTGCCAGGCTTCTCCACTGTAAAATTATTGTTTTCCCCCTGTGAAGTTGGTATTGTTTTGTGAGTAGTTGCTTTGGGACTGTATAAATATCTCATTCCTTAACAAATATTTCATTTAATTATGTTCATTTGTATCTCCATGGGCTCTTGAATTCCTATTCTATTCAGTGGGTCATCGTTCATTACTGTTATTTTTATTGATGCCTCAGTTGTGCTAGTTTAGCTGGTAGGTGCTCTTTCAAGCTGGCTCTTGTATCCTTTTGATATGTCTCTAACACTCTGAGCACCTTCTTACTATCTGGTACAGTAAGATTTTCAGACTCATTTTGTACTTTGCCTCCCTCACCCCAGCCTTGGAATCAGCCATTTTTCCAAGAGACCCTGATGCCTTTTGGTGGAGAATTTAGAAGCCAACTTCTTAGAATTTAGAAGCCCAGGTCTGCGGGCTAGGTGGTGTTTATTGCTGTTGAGATATTGCTGTTCTTAGGTTCTCCCAGGGAACAAAGCTCAGGAATATATATATATATATATATATATATATATATATATGCATGTATGTATGTATTATACATACAGATATACGTTAAGTACATATATATGCGCACACATTTATATGTATTTATTTCTGTAGCTAAATATGTTGAAAATCTTGAATTTATACTGATAGCTCCAATTTCAGTTCAGCACAGCAGAATTCATTTTCATTTTCTTCCTTTCCGTATTCATAACTCACATCTCTAATAGTGAGAAACCTAGGTACTCTTATCCTTTATATATTTACTTATTTGATCAGTCCTCTAAATATAATCCCCTTTTGCTGCCTATGCCCCTTTTCTCTTGGGATGAACACACTCCTTACCCAACTCAGGCTCCTCTCCTGTCAGGGTGATGCCACTATCTCCCTTTCCCACCACTCCCAGCTTTTGTAGTTCCTTCCTTACCCCACTGACTTTGACAACCTGTGCTGGGCTGCTTCTCCCCAGGGATACCCTTCTTACACCCCTGGGGCTGTGACGCTGGATACCAGGACACTCTCTCACCTGAGTGCTCTCTTCATCCTGCTCTGCTCTCCATGTTCCCCTTCCTCCACACCAAACGCCCAGCTACTCCCCACCCCTCCAGGAGGATACTTGTCTTATCCCACTGGGGCTGCAGTATTCTCTACTGAGCTGCTCCTTCATGTGGACACTTTTCTCAATCTGCTTTGCTGCAATACTCCATGCTGTTCTACACCTTCATGTAGGAACTCTCCATACCGTACCCCTGACCAACCCCCTGGGAATGCTCTTCTCACCCCACTCAGACTGTGACAACTCATGCCTAGCCACCCATCTATGGTGAAGTTCTTGATCTTGGGGTGTCACTTGATCTCTGACACCTCCTACTAGGTGAGTGCCACCACTACCTCCTGTGCTGATGTTCCCTCAGCCGTCTGTAGCTCGCAACCCCATCCCTTGGCTCTAAAACTGCACTACCTGCCCTCTGCCCCTCGTGGAGTTGCGCGTCTCACCCTACACCTGGATATTCCCTAACATGTGGCCCTGAAAATTCTTTTTCTAACAATAAGCTCCATATGCTTCCAGAAATTTCCTTTCTCTGTTCTATTGCCTGACCATTTCCTTTATGGTAGCTTCTAGTTTATTAGCTCCCTCCTTGTCTAACTGGGTGCTAAGATAACCTCATGCTTCCTGTAGAACTCTGGAATTTATTCTGCCTTCATCCACCCCAGAGCAGTCCACACCCCTGGGATCAACGTAACTGCCTTTGTTTTCCCTTCCCACTCTGTAGCCATACAGATGAGTTACTGAAGTGGCTGTTGAGTAATGCCAGAGGAAATCTTATAATTTTGATTCAGCCATTCTAAACGATCTAACACAGTTGTGGTCTCATTGCTGTTCAGGATTATTCCTTGATTCTTTTACCTGGAAAGAATCTTTGTCTTATTTTTACTTCTCTTCATGGCATTGTCTATATAGTGGTGATTTTTTTCCTCACTATATTTTTATTTTTTAAAGAATATACTTAATATCTCCTATTAAACCATAAACTCATTGTAGGCACTTAATAAATATTCATTGAGTAAAAAAAATGAATGATTAGTGCTTGTATATGTCAGCAAAGCGATTAAGGTGCTAGATGCTTGTTTGTGATCTTTCCTGCCTTAGATTTTGTGTGGATCTTTAATTTATTTACCGATTGAAAGTCATCACAGCAACTGTACCTCTTTGACATTTTATATAGCTGAATTAATACATACATAGTGCTTAGAACAGTTCATGGCACATAGTAAATGTTCAATAAATGTTAGCACTTAGGTTTGTGATTACAAAATTTTTAATTTTAATTATTTTATGATGAAATATTTTTAATGAGATACATATTTCTGAGACTTGCTACACTGAATACATGGAGCGTCCTTTTATCCTTCATGAATTGTCATCATCATGAACATCAAAAATAGTACTAAGTCATATTTGAATTATTCTACACCTCTTATTCTCTCTTACTTTAATATCTTGCTACTCACAACAAATTCAGTTGATTTTATCTTTTTACATAATTTCTGTGGCTGTCTTCTCATTTCCGTCTTGTTTTGCCTTAGTCCTGGTCTTCTTCATTTCTCACCTTTTCTATTTTAAGAATTTCAATAACTGGTCTCTCTATTTCTGGTTTCATATGTTCCTCTAAACCGTCCTTTATATTGTGGCTAGAATCATCTTTCCACAATACACCTATTACGAATTAACTCCCCTAAGACCCTTCTGGTTGCTTACAGGGTGAAATCTTTACTTGTTTTTGACATGCCCCCGGCCTCCCACTTGAACTAGCTTTGTTGACTGCTTCATTCTCCCTGACTCTATCCTCCATCTATACTAAATTCTTTTTTAGTTTTACTCAAGTTTGTTAGTCTTGAGTATAATTGAAAAGTCAATGGACTCCGAATAAAGACCTTAAGAGCTCTTCCACAATTATAGTGCGTGTGGTAATACCTATTTTGGCTCATCAGAGACCTTTTTGATTTCTTTTTGAGTCTTGATGTATTTCATATTTTTGAGTATTGAATAAATCAACTGAGGACTCACCTGAAGTGTTACCTTCCTAGGAGGATGTTTGACTCTAAGCAGTTCCTTTTCTGTGTTTCATTGACACCTATGCTTGCCTTGTCCTAGTACTTGTCATGCTATGTGGTAATTATCTTTGTAATATGGTATCTTAACTGAAGGTAAATATTGCCCATATCAATTTGTGGGACTGGTTGACATTCTGCTAGGGCTTGCCTCTGTTCTTTAATTAGTCAGATTTTTTTTAAATTGATGTAAATGTTTTAGGAAATAGTCAAGCCATTGTCTAGTTACAGTCCCTAAATTGTCTGTACCAATGATTTGCATGGGATAAATTGTGAATCTTGTTCAAAATAAGGTATTTGTATGTGTGTCTGTGAGCCTACGTGTGGAGAGAGAAACACAGATAAACACACACATACACACACGTCCTTTGGATTTGGGATTGTGTGGGGAAAGGTATCAGTAGAAGCCATTTGCTGGGAAGTGAGAGATAGTTTCCACAACTGAGAAAGACATTGTAGCACAAACTTTTCTTTCCTTCTTTTTATTTTACTGAGGTCACAGCACAAACTTTTTATCGGTATCTGAAAGGAATAGTTGTGGTTCTCATGACAGCATTATTATTATTATTTTTTAAATATCCCTTGACTTCTTGTGATGTGATGACTGTGTATCGTGAGAAAGTAGATAAGTGTGCTGTAAAAAAGAAAGCCTACTGTTTTTCGTACAATGTATGATATTTTACGTATTTAAGAAAGAAAAATACTAAAATTCAGAAATATTAAATAGCAAAAAAAAAATGTGCACGTTTGAATCAGTCATGCAATACATCACTGGGATACCAGCCACCTTTATAGGGATTCTCTGTTGAACGCCAGTTAATAAAAATTGATAAATTTTATTACTAGGAGTCCACACCTTTCATCCTTGGTACCCCTTCTGAAATACCTGGGTGCAAAAAGGGAAAATAAATTTCCTATCAACTGGATGAAGTGCTGAGTGGAGATAGCTAAAGAGAGATTCAGACAGAGACTGAGTGAATAGATACTTTGGAGGGTGACTAGGGTCCTTGTCACAATATGACACTCTGGCTGAGAGTCAGCAGTGTTAGTGGTCCTAAGATTTTGTTCTATGAGAGGTCTCTCCTCTGGCTGGGATAGTGGCTGAGAAGAGCATGTTTGGTCCTGCAGATCCATATGATCAGTGTCTACATGGCCAAGTCAAGTGAGAGCAGAGAGTTTGACAGCAGTGTTTACATCAGAAACATTCAGGGACTATAAAATAATGTTGTGGATTACTTAATTCCCATTCCATTTTCAGGGATTATCATGGCATCCTAAGAAGAATAGCTCTAGGTCTTTCTTACTTCTTGTCAGATAGGGCTATTGATCTAGTGGATTTAGATCAAATTGACAAGTAGACTTACTCAGAACCAGCCACTGATTAGGCCTGGGAATACATGGATATTATCTCTTTGTTGGTTTTCTAAATTAGATTGTTCTGTCTTTAATGCCTCTCAGCATGCCTGATACATAGTAAAAATATGGATGGATGGGTAGACAGATTATGAACAAAATGTTAAACTATTATGTTTAATTGCAGCGGATTTTTTAAATTTTTACTTTTCTTCTTTGTTGTATATATTTTCTCTTTAATCGAAAGGCATACACATGGCTGCATTTGTAAAGACATTGAACATTGTTTTCTTTTCACGCAGGGGCCTGAATTAATGAATAAATATGTTGGTGAATCTGAAAGAGCAATTAGAGAGGTAAGAAGATTATGCCTTTAAGTAGAACTCTGCATAGGAAAACCATGCTTCTGTTCATCTATATGGTTTCCATTTTGTTTTGGGTTATAGACTTTGAAATTTCCAAATTCTAGTGGTATATTTTTTCTTCTGGCAAATATTATTTTATTGTTATTTAAAAATGTAATTTTGGTCATCTGCAATACAGGTTTCCCCTTGCTATCCAAAAGTAGAGCATTCCTGTGAAACCCTTCATAAGCTGAAATGGCATAAAGTGAAGAAGCAATTGCAGTTAATTTATATGGGAAAATTTTTTGTCTGTTCCTGGACCCAAAACATAACCTACCAAAATGAATTGAGAGAAAGCACAGATGCTCACAGACAATTTAAAGCTATGGTGGCTTGAAGCAGAGATGCTGAGTGTAGTTCCCATGGACTCTTGCATCTTGGGGTGCTTGCTGCCTCTGTAATAGCTTGCTGCAAAACAAATACTGAATGCTATTTTTGCTTTTCACCCTTTTTTGTAAAAGTGAAAGTCCTCTTTGGATATTTTTCAGTTAGCAAAAACAAGTACTAATGTAAGCCTTTTGTAAAAGCAAAGTGGTGTAAAGCAAACTTTCAGATGGAGGCGGGACACCTGTACTTTGTTTTTATTTTTGAACATAGTATTACCTGCCTTTAGTTTTACTAAATAAAGGTTTTTTTTAAAAAACTGCAGCATTTCATTAAAAAAAAGATATATCAACACTTTCAAAGAGCACATGATCTCAGAATGAGATTTAAATCCATTAAACTAGGTAGTCTTTTAAATCAGATATGCTTAATATATGAAAATTTCACTATTCTCTTCTTATTTTATTTTCTCTCTCCCTGGTGATTTAGACAGTGCATCCCCCTCCTCTCTCCTAAGCTTTAAAGCCAGTGCCTGATTGATAGGCCACTGCTTCATATTTCGGAAGCTACACAATTGGTAAATTCATGCAAAATCAAGGCACTGGAGTCAGGTCACTACAGCAGTTTGACCATATCTCTTGGTTTTCCTAAGCGGAGATTGGCCTGCCTCACATAGGCACCTTGTATCCTCAAAGAAGCTAAGCAAGAACAAGAACACACCAACAGCAATGGAATGGATGGTCTCCATTTGTGAAATACCTGGGTACCAACCAGGATTATTAGAGATTAGAATACTTCTTTTGTCTGAGAAAGATTTTAAGTTAGTTTTTATCCAATTTTTTTACTTTAAATTGTAGATGATGGTAATTGTGTAAAACGCTAACTGATAATAACAGCACCACCAGTGATTAAAATATGAAAAAAGGTGATGTTTATTAATATTAATGTTTTGGTGAACGTTTTGTATTTTTATGGTCATCCTACTTGTGACCAGAAAATGGGGGCCTAGGTTACAGGTAACACATGTTTGGATTTCTTTCTGCCTATGCTGACTTTTTCTAGCCCATTTCCACATATCACCCCCATGGCTATCTGGCTAGTCTCTGATGTTGGTAGTCTGATTGACTTCTGGTCTAACCAAACTATCCTCTTCTGAGTTTTGGTCATTTTTCTTGTCCTGGCTTTACATCAACCATTATTTTCCCATACAGTCTTCAAAGAAATGAGCAAGACATGTGGCTTTTGGGCTTATGGATATTTTATATGCTAATCTGTGGCTGATTTTGCACATTTATGGTTTTTCTTTCAAACATGTGTTTATGATAGTTAATAATACCTATCATTTACTGCCTCGTACTATGTTACAGGCATGTGCTAAATGCTTTGCATTCCTTTTTTTGTTCAATTCTTAAAGTAATCTTCTGAGGCAGGCTTTTTATAGATGTGGAAATTGAAGTTTGAAGAAGTAAAGCTACCTGCTGAAGGTCACGCAGCTACAGGTGGTGGAGGGGGGATTTTAACTGAGATTGTCTGATTGCTTAATGAAATTGCCTCCTGCACACCTCTGTGAATATATATTGGTGTCTTGTCTCTGTGCAAGTAAGCACTGTGGAAGAAGGTACAAATCCTTTGTGAAGTGTGCATAGATCTGTTACAGGGTGTATACAAAATGATTGGGCTGCTTGACCAGTACATAGTAGATTTAGTTCTAAATACCATTTTCAAACTAAAACCAACTACAGTTTTCTGGAGTTCACTGATCTTTACCTAATGTGGCCCTCTTTCCACCAGATCTTCCGAAAAGCAAGAGCAGTGGCTCCTTCCATCATTTTCTTTGATGAACTTGATGCCTTAGCAATTGAAAGGGGCAGGTAAGAAATATTTAATAGAACTGCTATTAAATATCAGCAATTACAGGGTAAATAGCATTTCTTATACAAATTTTTTTTATTAATACATTTGGCCTAAAAGAAAACATTTTTAAATTCGTGTAGTTTTTTCTCTTATATCCATTAAATTATTTCCTGTTATCACTTTGTAATACTTTCATATAGAATATTTGTTTTTTGAAAAACACTGGTATCCATTTGGGACATTTGAGTTAATTTTTATAGTTTATTATCTACAGAGACCCCCTAGCACTGCCTATCAAAATTAAAGTTGTTATAAACATAATTAAAAATGTAAACAAAGCTCAATTAAGTGTAATTGTATGATACAGTAGAACCCAATTATAATAAAATATTTTATTGCACAGATTTTAGTATTCTCTGGATTAAATCATGTTTCCTACAATATAATTAATTACAATAGAATAAAAATTAGTATTAATAATTTTGTTACCAAATCTCAAGCAATAAAGAAGATTATAATCTCGTTTCATACAGATGTGTGTGTATATATACATATCAGAACTGTTTACAAGTATGATTTTTTTCTCAACAAATGTTTAGAGGTCTTTTAAGGAATATGTACTACAAGTACTTCATGTTAGAGAATGTTAATTTATGTGTTTTGTGCATAGCTTTCTGATGTATAAAAGTTTTCCTGATGGTGATTACAGTGATGGCGGAAAACACCTTTTAAGTCCCCAGTATTAAAGGCGATAAGAAGTATTACTTTCCTCTTCCTTCCTTGGCAGAGCTGCCTCATCAGATGAGAGTATAAACTGTCATTAGGAAATGATTGTTAGGAGGTTACTCTCCCTGCTCTTGTCCCCCCTTTTCAGTATCCCATAAATACCTACCAGTCTTTTTATTTTGTGAGTTGAAGTTACTCGGACCCTTTTATTACTTCTGAGGTGAGATAGCACAGAAGGTTACAGATAGCTCAAGTTCATCTTAACTACAAGAGAAGAAAAAGACGCCAGAGAAGTTTGCTGAAGTAGTGTGACCTGCCACATTTATGTGACATCAGAGACATCTGTTTTTGGAGCCTAAAAAAGGAATAAGGTGTGATACATTGTTAAATATGAATCAGACAAGAGGTAGAATATATAGCAGAGTTCTCATAAAATGCTTTTGAAATGAGATGGTGTGAAAAACCACACAAGGCACTTGGTAGAAGTATCTTGTTTTTGCAGACAATTTGGCTCAGTAGGAATTTACAAATATATTAGAGATGCTAATGATTTGCAGCCTTTAGATATCGTTTCCTCTGATAGTCTTCATCATAGTGTGTATTGTATACCTCCCTCCCTCAGTGGCTCATTAAAATCAAGTAAAAATAAATTCTGTGCAGTTTCCTTTGTATAGAAAAATTTTTGGTCAAGTTAGTCGACATTTCAGAAAACAAAGGTGAGGCTTATGAGCAAATGAAGTGCAAATGGTCCAAAATGGAGAGTTTTGATTGCACTTTAGTTGCACTAAGTCTTATATAGTTCGTTTTTTATAGCCAAAGAATCTCACAGGGTGATACTCTGTTTTCAGTGTATATTTTCCTAATTGTGTGATGAGCCAACACTGCCTAGGGGCAATTCTACATAATATTGGGCTGTAGAATAGTCATTGCTTTCATTTGTTCAAAGTTATTATCTGTTTTCTGTAACACTCAGATCAAACCCATATGACTAGTCCAAAAATGACAGTGCATAAGAAGACTGTTTCTTCTTATCAAGATTTTAATTTCCAAACTTAAGATGTTTAACAAATTGAGCAGGGAATTATACTGTATGCTAGTCCTTACTGTCTGTGTATGTTAAATCAATTATTTCGACCGTTTCAAGTTACTCAAATTCGCTGTGGAACTCAGGATTGTAACCAGCACATTGTAAATACAGCATAGACATACTATTTGCTTAGCTTTAGAAATATTTGTACTTTCAGAAAGAGAGATTTTTCATACTTATAAGAAAGTGTCTAATTACACCCACTATTTTCCCCTCCTTCCTACCGCATTTAAGTTTCCTTAGGACTTAAAAAATAAATAAGCCTGACACTTACTTGTCTTTTTCTGTATGCCCATTTAAATTATGGGTGATCCAAATAAGATTTTCTTTTGGTCTTAGTTCATATGATGAGTCAGAGGAAATGCTGTAAGATTCCCTTTGCAAAGTGCTTCAATGATCTCTATAACATTTGGGAAAATTGAAATTGCTGTTAAAGTAGCATAGCTCTTGGGTAAATAGATGTATGCTCAGGAGTAAGGCACTGAGGTAGGGAAGAGATTTGAATTATACTGGGCTAATAATAGTATTGGGTAACATTCATTTAGTGCTTATTATGTACTAGAAACTGTTTTAAGTGCTTGATAGGTAGAGAAAAAAACTCACAGAAAGGCCCCTATGTTAATGCAAAGTAAGATATTATACAATTGGCAATTGGCTCCAGTATTGTGCCCCATTTCCCAGCTAGCTTAAGTATTTACCTTTTTAAAGGTTATAGTGGGAATGGGAGTGCAAGCTGGGAATTAAATCATCAGTCAACCTTGTCTTAGGCAGCAGTCCTGTCCCCAGAAGTAGAGAGGTGTAGAGTGAGTCCCTTGATTCTTAGAACAACTTTCTCTGTCTTAGGACATTCTAGCCAGTCACACCATCCCAAATCATCCTCATCAGCTAACATTGATTGCCTGGTAATGCCAAACTTCAAGCAGAACTAGAAGAGATTTGGTACAAGGACCGTCTCTGAAACCTAGAGTCACTAGCTGGAGAGGCCCATCTTGTTTATTTAATTAACTTCCAAATAATGTGACGCCCTTTGTTTGGACCTCAGTCACCATGTTATGGCCTTTTGCTGTATTAACTTCTAATCATCACAACTCAAGAGGTGTAGGTCCTATTCTCATCTCCTTTTTACAGGTGAGAAAACTTAGGCATATAGATGCATAAATATGTTTTTCAAGGTCATGTATGCTTAGTAGCAGATCTTGGATTTGAATTCACATATTTTGACTCCAAAGCAGATACTCTGAGCCACTTTTTCACTCGACTACACCACAGATTCCAGGATACCAGGTCTGAGTTCAAGCTTGTATTTATTGTGCATTTTCTCTGTGTCTTACATTAGTAATGACCCTGTCTGTCTAACTGGGCTGTTGTAAGACCCCTTTGCAAGTATTCATTCATTCACTTGTTCGGTATTTATTGAATGCTCACTCTGCAACAGGCTCTGTGTTGGGGATAAAACAGTGACCAGGACCTAGGGCAATTTGCTTAGCCTCTGTAAGCCTTAGTTTCTTCATTTGTGAGGTGGAGCTAATAGTAAATTCTAGGTTGTTGGAATTAAATACGTGTAAAGCACATCACATAATACTTGACATTTTGTAACTGCTTAAAAAACTTTGTTTCTTATAATTTCTGCATAGATATTTTTGTAATAATAATTTCCAAATAGATATAAATATAGTAATAGAGATAGAAATGAATCCTGCCCCAACAGAGTTTACGTTCTACATTCGTTATGTTCTAATGAAGCATTTGGGAAATTAGAAAAATTATTCTACAGATAACAGACACTATGGCATTTCATTAATCTAAGATGCCATCTGTCGTAAGACCCATCATTATTTTATGTACCAATATTGAAGAAAAATGCAGCCTTAAATTATGGAGTGGTGCTGAGAAATCACAACTCCAAGAGACGTCTTGATTTCAAAAACTTAAAATATGAAAAAAGTTTATATCTTAGAAATAGAAGAAAGACAGTAAGAAAGAGAAGATGATCTGTTTTATAAAGCCAGTACTATTATATAAAAAATGTTTGGGATGTTGTTTTATGACTAGAATGTAAAGAAGAAGATTAAATATATGGAAAAATGAAAAAGATTAAGTACTCAGTTAAGAGCTGATTCATTGGTATCTTCTGTGAGGTATTGGAGAATCTGTGATTTTAATAACTGCTTTCTTGTATAGCTGTTTCTGTACTTAATAGTCCAGAGTTGGTTTCCACTTGGAGTGGTTGGGGAAAAAGTAAGAAGTTCTGGGCCAATTTTCATTGAAAATGAAGATTCCAGGCTTAGCAGCATTCTGAAAAGAGCTCTGAGTTTTAAAATAAAGATCAGGAAATGGGGTAGCTCTTTTACGGCATATCCAGATTTCAGGTAAATTCAGTGAATTCATGACACTAAGCACTGTAGAGGAAATTTTTGTAGGCATCATTTCTCTAAATGACACTTTTCAAGGAGGGTTATAAATTTTTTTAATGTGATTTTTATGGTGGTTTTTAAAATTTCATAAAATCATAAAATTTTATAGCTGGAAAAATTCTTAGAAGTCATCTAGTGTAACCTTTTATTCTTCACAAGGAACAGAAGCCCCTAGAATTTAAGAGAAGAAGCACATCTTCCTTGTGACCTAAACAAGACTAGAACTCATGTTTTCTGATCTAGTGCCTTTGAACTCTACTACTGCTACCTCATACACTATCAGGATTTCAGATAGAAGAAGTGTGTTTATATCAGTGTAAAAATTCTCATGTATCTAAATACTTAAAGAATATTTTTTATGTTTAAGACACTCTAACAATAGCCACTTGTTAAATACTCCTAACCACTCTTATTTTGTATATCTGTATTTAAAGTTGCTATATTCAATCCCTATGTCCTGGTAGGCAGTTTTCTCTAATTTATACTTCATCACCTCAGATATAACATAGTTCTCACATTGGTAAACTTTTAATATTAAACAGAAATCTTGAGGAAAACAACAAAAGAAGAAATGGAAAATGTGTAACATATTTTTCATTATAATAGTTTTATAAAGTATAGCCAAGTTCTCTATTTTTGTGTTCTGTTTTGTCTATGCATTGTGGGTAAGTACTATAGCATAGATTAAAGGTATGACTTTCCTTAGAAAGATGGCCTGGCATAGCATTTTACTAGGAGTTGGAAATTTCTTGTTGTGGGACACAGATGTCTCCTATTGTAGTTATTTTGC